TCGTCTCTTTAAAATTGAGATAAGACACGTGACAATATAATATATCTGATTTAATATTTCCAATATGTTCCATATATAATATATGGCCTTACCTGACCTACGAAAATGTCCACAGGTGAAAAACTCTCGTAACGTTTCGATAAACAGCTCTGGTGCTGGTCTCGCGCGCGTGTTGTCGGCTTGCCGCTGCTGCCGTCACTACGTGACATTGCCACCACGCGCCGCGTTTTTATCCACCACGCCCCGTACCTCCTTCATCCGACAGCGCGCCGGCAGGTACATATAAGTCTTTCGAAAGTGGCAATAATAAATATAAATCCACGCACGCATTCAATCCGTGGTGACGGACATGCCGGGCGAGTGGATGGTGGGGTGATCGGCTGGCGGGGGTGGTGGACGGTGAGGTTGTGGGGAGAGAGGGTAGTAGACTGGTGGGTGGCTGGGTGGGGTGGTAAAGTTGTGGGCGTGGTGAGATGGTGGGGCGGTGGGGTGAGTGGGTGGTGGGGTGGTGAAGTTGTGGGCGTGGTAAGATGGCGGGATAGTGGAGTGGTGGCATGGTGAGATGGTGGGGCGGTGGGGTAATGGGCGATTGGAGTAACAGGGCTGCTGGGTGGTGGAGAAGGAGGGTGGTGGGTAGAGCGGTGGTGGGCTGGTGGTCTAGGGTAGTGCTAGAGTGGTGGATGGTTGGATGGGAGTGGTGGGGGCATCAAACTTATAGATCTGAGACTACTTAGCGCATAATTGACTTAAATACGCGCATTATAGTCAGCTCCGTAAGATGTTATCCGTCCGCAATTAACACCTCGTTACCCTGCGACGGCAACACTCGGCGCCGCGCGGGGGCGCGGGGGACGACCAGCCTGCATGACGATGAACCTAGGGTAGAACTCTCGGCTATCAGACGACGTACGTGTGTGTGCGTGCGTATGCGTGCGTGCGCGTGCGTGCGTGTTTGTATGTGTGCGCCTCTCTCCCCATCTCTCTCTCGCTCTCTATTTCTCTCTCTGTATGTGTGTGTGTGTGTGTGTGTGTGTGTGTGTGAGTGTGTGTGTGTGTGTGTGTGTGTGTGTGTGTGTGGTGTGTGGTGGGTGGGTGGGTGTGGTGGTGGGTGGGTGGGTGGTGGTGTGTGTGTGTG